CAAATCGAATAGGGCCGAATTTTGGGGCACATCATAGTTTACTTATGATATGGAACCCCAACCCTAAACCCTAAACCCTAAGGAACAGTATTCCTAACTGTTCAGGCTTCCATATTGAGCAACTGTGGGAGTTAGATTTAGGGGTAGGGTTCATTCACCATTCGGGTGCGCAGACAGCGAGCTCAAGGGCTTCAAGTGTCGGGTACAGGGTTCAACGTGTACGTAGCATGCATGCACTTCCAGCTGCTGGGCTATTGGATATAGGCTTCGGCGTTAGGGCACAAGAAGTTTAAAGTCTTTGGGTACAGGGTTTACGGCCGAATGGGATTGGTGTGCAAGCGCTTTTCGTCATCCCGATGCATGGATATGGCTTCAGCCCAAACCCTAGAGGAAGCTTTCTCAGACCCTGATTAAATATGACTACAGCTGAAAGCTGCAGCACCCCATGAAAGGCAGGGGATCACAAGCGGCTTCTGACTTTTCGTGGGAAACGACTGTTACACATCGCGCAGCTGATCTTGTACCGCACTGCTGTCGCCACCGCATTCGGCAGTACCCCAGGTGACCACAGATCCATCGCCCAGTATTGCAGCAAATGCATATTTAGAAGCTTGGATCTGCAGCACATCTCGCAACTGATCCTGTACCGCACTGCTGTCGCCACAGATGGGATTGCCCCAGGTGACTCAGGTGACTACAGATCCATCGCCCGCGATAACGGCACATGCCCGCTGACAGTGTGAGTGGGCATTTGCCGCAATCGTGGGCGATGTCACAAGCGTGGATCTGCTGCACCTCTTGCAGCTGCTCCTGTACTGCACTGCTGTCGCCGCACTGGTCGGCATCACCCCAGGTGACCACAGATCCATCACCTAGGATTGCGGCAAATGCGAAATCAGAAGCCTGGATCTGCCGCACATCTCGCAGCTGATCCTTTACCACACTTCTGTCGCTACCATAGTCGGCCGCACCCCAGGTGACCACAGATCCATCACCCAGGATTGCAACAAATGCACCAACAGAAGCTTGGATCTGCTGCACATTCTCGCAGCTGCTCCTGGACTCCACTGCGGTCGCCTCCAAAGCGGGCACGGCCCCAGGTGACCACAGATCCATCGCGCCTGATTGCAGCAAATGCCAAAACAGAAGCTTGGATCTGCTGCACATCTCGCAACTGATGCTGTACCGCACTGCTGTCACCACCGCAGCCGGCATCATCCCAGGTAACCACAGATCCATCTCCCAGGAGCGCGGCGAAAGCAGAGAATCTTCCGCCGCGCTTGGTGGCTCTAACCTGAACTTGGTTTACATGCAGTGTGAGCACATCTCCACTCTTCAACTTCGCCTCTGTGACTGTATGCGCTTCGTCAAGCACCTCCCCAGAGGAATTCAGCAGCCTCCCTCTACCCGCGACCAGGGCATTCTGGGCACGCTGCTTTAATGACTCAACCGAGGCATCCGTCCAGCTCCAAAGAAGCACTCTTACCACTCAGTAGATGCACATCCACAGAAACCGACATGATGCTATGTAGCGTCCGGATCAGGGACATTTCAGGAGTACCATGCTATAAAATAACATAAAATAACCATAGCATTCTATACTATACTATATTATACTACATGTCTTTACTGAACCATACTACACTTTTCTTCACTGTACCATACTATGCTATTGTATACTATACTATACTATACTATACTATACTGTACTATACTATACTATACTATACTATACTATACCATACCATATTATGCTATACTATGCTATGCTAGATAGGAAGGTCACTTGATGCAAGGCCGAAGACCCTTCGTCGATCCACGCAGACGTTTCCAGGTTTGGGGTTTGGGGTTTAGGGTTTTTTGGCTTTGAGCTTGGGGTTCTGAGTTTAGGGTTTAGGGTGTAAGCTTTAGGGTTTAGGGTTTATGGGTTTATGGGTTTAGGTTTAGGGTTTAGGTTTAGGGTTTAAGCTTTAGGGTTTAGGGTATAGGGGTTTAGGGTTTAGGGTTTAGGGTTCAGGGTTTAGGGTTTAGGGCTTAGGGTTTAGGGCTTTGGGGCCCAGAAAGCTCTAATTATACTAAGGAGCCCCCTTTTGGGTAGGTCAAAGGTCTCCGACGTTCATGTTAAAGTTGCCTGTCCATTCTCGTGGAGCTGCGGCCACGAGCTTGTGCAGCTTGTCCTGGGAGTTTCGCAGTTTAGGGTTTTAGCTTTTGGCTTTTGGGCTTTGAGTTTGGGGTTCGGGGGTCGTGGGATTCGGGGTTTGAGAGCTGTGGGTTTTCGGCGATGAGGGCCGAACATGATCCAAACTCCAGGAAGCATCCCCAGCTACTCTTCTTTCAGACGGTGGGGCGAAGGTACCAACCCTAAACCCTAAACCCTACACCCTAAACCCTAAACCCTAAACCCTCAACCCTGGACCCTAAACCCTAAACCCTTAACCCTTAACCATAAGCATGCCCAGTGCTGGACCTGAGCCATACGAGCCCCAGATGTACTTAGAGGCTCGGGGGCGTTAGTCAGTAGTTTAGAAGTAGGGTTTAGGGTTTAGGGTTTAGGGTTTAGGGTTTAGGGTTTAGCTCCAACTGGCGCGCCCAGAACCCCAAATCTCACCTCTACACCTTAAACCCTAGACCCTAAAACCCTGAATCTTTGGGTCTCGTATCAAACCCCAGACAATCCTCGAAGAAGCAGGAAATCAGGGCACAGAGAGCTTCTCACAGCGGAAACTTCGTCTGAACTAAGCAGACTAAACTTGCACACTCTGTTGTAACGGAGAAAACGACAGCGAGAGAGACAGAGGGAGGAAGGCATGAAGGGGGGAAAAACCCTAAACCCTAAACCCCTACACCGTAGGGTTTAGGGTTTAGGGGAGCACTCGAGCACCCAAGTTGCGAACCTCTATAACCTGTGGGCCTCAATTCAGCACCTCCTAACCTTAAACCTTCAATACTACTTAATAGATCGAGAGACTTGAGGTTCAGGATTTAGGGTTTAGGGTTTAGGGCTTAGGGTTTAGGGTTTAGGGTTTTTTTAAGTGCCATGGCTCCTTTTCGCAAGAAGCCCACCTATAGTAGGCATACACTTAGTCCACCATTTCGGCAGAACAAATCAAGAGTCATGACTACGGCTCGCAGCGGGTTTAGGGTTTGGGGTTTAGGGATTAGGGTTTAGGGTTCAGGGTTGAGGGCTCAATGATCCTACTCAGGGTTCAATGGTCCTAGTCAGTGGGATGAAGGGGAGTTAGTAAGGACTTTGGCATGGTTCCATGAGGCTGTCATAAGGGTTGGTTAAGTGTCTTGCTGGGGTTTTAGAATCAGGGAGCTTCGCATTGAATACGGGCTGTAAGTAGTGAAACTATATCCACGAACAACACGACATGTCCTCACCTCTACCCCTACTTTCGAAGTCCTCTGATCCTCCAAGTGTTAGAAACTCGGAACTGCTTCATCACTTGGTGACTGTCACTGATTACCCTAAAGATTTCAAGCCCCTAAATTACTTACCCTAAACCCTAAACCCTAAACCCTAAGCCCCTTAAAGGAATCCAGCGCAAGGATGCGGTCGGGTCGCATGGCGCATGGCTGACAGAGTGGCCCGGCAAGCAGGCACGATCCTTAGGAGAGGCACTTTGACTTTTCATGGTCTAAACTCTAAACCCCTAAACCCATAAACGCAAAACCCTGAAACCCTGAAACCCTAAACTCTAAACCCCTAAACCCATAAACGCTAAACCCTGAAACCCTTAAACCTTTACACCCAAAAGATTTGGTCAGGAGTCTATTGGGCTTTCTATGGGTCCTTTCAGGGTTCTGTCATGCTACAAAACCTCCTAAACCCTAAAACCTAAACCCTAAACCCTAAACCCTAAACCCTAAACCCTAAACCCTAAACCCTAAACCCTAAACCCTAAAGAAGCATGTTGAGGTGCGGACGCCCAGGATTGGAGTTTCAGGGTTCAGGGCGTAGCGCTTAGGGTGTGTATAGTTTAGGGTCTAGGGTTTAGGGTTTAGGGTTTAGGGTTTAGGGTTTAGGGTTTGGGGTTTAGGGTTTAGGGTTTAGGGGTTTAGGGGTTTAGGGGTTTAGGTTTATTTTAGGGGTTTAGGAGTCTAGGGTTTAGGGTGTGTACACAGTGTGCACTCGGCGGGCGCGCTTCTCACCCACTTATCAAGCGCTTGCGTCAGCATGTAGTCCCTAAAGGGCATTCCCGCTCCTTGGGGTTCAAGTTTTCCTTTGCCAGCTTTGAGCTGAAATGCAGAACCCTAAACCCTAAACCCTAAACCCTAAACCCTAAACCCTAAACCCTAAACCCTAAACCCTAAACCCTAAACCCTAAAGTCAGACAACTGTCGAATTCACCAGGACCGCTCCTGGGGTCGGAAGTACTTTCCAAGGCCCCGAGATTGCCAGTCCTCTACCCAGAGAGCCCAATACCCCGTAATTTAGGAGTATACCTTAAATTATAGAGACGGACCTTAATTTTGATGGTTTAAGGTTTAAGGTACATTCCTTAATTAAGGAGTATTGGGCTCCCTGGGCAATTCTTGCGCCTGTTTCCGGAAATCGGTTACCTTGCGTCCTTAAAGCCGGCCGAGGACCAAGGAGCCTCCTGGCGGCTGGGGGTCCGGGGTCCTCATTTAGATTAGGTTTGGGGATTAGGGTTTAGGGTTTAGGGTTTAGGGTTTAGGGTTTAGGGTTTAGGGTTTAGGGTTTAGGGTAGGTTTGGGGTTTAGGGTTTAGGGTCTCTAAAGTGGCAGTTACCAACTGAGGAGTCGGTCGTAGAGTCTTGGCGCATACTGCTGAGCGGTTAAGATCTCTTTTAGCCTTTTTTGGAGGGTTGAGCCTGAGATTGAGGAATCTCTGCTCAAACTGTTTTCTTGCCAGCCGCTGCTCGGGTTATGCCTGACTATTGCGCATGTGGCTGCTGTCACCCTAATATATGTTTTGGACTGCAAACCACCACGAATCCATCACTCAGGATTGCAGACATCGCCTCTTGCAAAGCTTATTGGGATCTACTGCATACACCTCGCAGCTGATGCTCTACCACACTGCTGTCGCCGCCACAGTTGGCTCTGCCCCAACCGACCACAGATCCATCACCCAGGATTGCAGCAAATGCACCCCAAGAAGCTTGGATCTGCTGCACATCTCGCAATTGATCTTGTACCACACTGCTGTCGCCACCATAGTCGGAATAACCCCAGGTGACCACGGAACCATTGTCCAGGATTGCGGCAAATGCACCATCAAAAGCTTGGATCTGCTGCACATTTGTCAGCTGATCCTGTACGGCGCTGCTGTGGCCACCATAGTCGGAATCACCCCCAAGTGACGACAGGTCCATCACTCCGGATTGCAGCAAATGCGAGACGCGAAGCTTGGATCTGCTGCACATCTCGCAGCTGATCCTTTACCACACTGCTGTCGCCACCATCGTCGGCACAACCCCAGGTGACCACAGCTCCATCACCCAGGATGGAAGCAAATGCACCAGCAGAAGCTTGGATCTGCTGCACATCTCGCAGCTGATCCTGAACAGCACTGCTGTCGCCACCAGAGTGGGCATCACC